TTTCAATTCTATTCCATTGATTGACATGTATGTTTTTGTGCCAATACCATGCTGGGGTTTTTGTTTGTTTGTTTGTTTTTTACTATAGCTTTGTAATGCAACTTAAAATTGGGGATGGTGTTACATCCTGAAGTTCTGTTATTATTCAGGATTGTTTTAGCTATCTTGGGATTTTTGTGCTTAAATTTTAAAAAATTAATTATTTTAAAATGGAAATCAGAAGCCTAGGACTACAGCTCAACAGTAATAGAACATGTACCTAGAAAGAACAAGACCACGGATTTGATCCCCAGCCCCGTAAATGATATTGCCAGGATAAAAATCATTTCATAATGATAAAAGGGTTCTTTCAATAAGAGGTCATAATAATCCCAAGTGTTCAAATGAGTTCAAGTCTCCAGCACCCTTGTAGAAAGGCAGGCGTGGCTCTCACTGGTGCTGTAGGACGTAGAGATAGACATTTGCTGAAACTTGCTGGCTGTAAGCCTAGTTCCAAGCTCAGTGAGAGGCGCTGCATCCAGGGAATAAATCCAGGAGGACAATAAAGCAGGACACAATACACAATGTCTTTGTCTTACTCCTGCATGTGTTCTCATGGATGCACATATACACTGTACACAGTCGCACATACAAATTATAAAGACAGAAAATTGTATCTACAATACATATCAATACACAAAGTCAAACCTGGTGGAACTGCAAAGAGGAAAATATGCACAGTTTAGAAGTCAGTATCTTTCTCTTAATAACAGATAGAAAAGTAGCCAAAACATTGGAAGGAATAAATAGTATGGAAAATAGCATGTTGATTTATCTTTAAAAGCTACCCTGAAGAAAGCTATTAACCAGCTTGGCATGGCATTGTTTGTAGCGTTCTCTGCTGCCCATTGCTACATACATTCTTCTCATGTGCATGTGAACCTTTTACCAAAATGGACTATAGTCTGTTACAAACTGTGAAAGGGCTCGAGACATGCAAAGTATTTTCTCTGGCCAAGACAGAATTAAGTTCAAAGTCATTAACAGAAATATCGCAGTATTTTGAAACTAAACAATGAATCTGTGGCCGTTAGCCACTGTGCTCTGTAGGCATGTGGGGAGGCAGGTTTTATGAAAGAATAGAGCTCATGGAACCGTAGAGTCCCGAAACAGGGGCATGCCCACCTGTGCCCGTGCCGATCTTTGGTGTGTTGCTTAGCCTCTGTGAAGCTGCTTCATTTGCTTTTCTCCTTTTATCAATTTTTATTAGGGCACAAAACAGTGAGTTTCATTATGGCAACTCATATCCCTATGGTCCCTGTGTTTTTCTCTCAGCCTCCTTCTCAGTCTAAATGATGGGGAATAATGGTTTCAACAGTATTTCATCTTTCTGTCTGGAAAACAGCACAGCACTTTCTTTTCAGGAGATCTATTCTCACAAGTGGTCTGTGCACTGTCAAACAGAATTGACTGGTCTGGCTCCTGGTTTGGCATCTAAAATTGATTTGGAAGATGTTGGACATTGTTGGATACCAGGCAGCGATGTTATCACCTGGGAATTGTCTCCACGGACAACAAAGAATAACAAAGTCAGCAACAAAAATTTCACTTTGAAAGTAGTGAAAAGACAGCACTTTGTTCATCCGTATTAGCTACAGAGTGCGTGAGATACTAGGGCTGTGCTTCAGTGCAAACATTAAAGGTAGGCCGGAAGCAGTTTCTCGGGTGCTCTGGAGTCAGCAGGAAGCCTTCAAGGATGTGGGTTGGACCAGAAGAGGACACAGATGAACAGAAAAAAAAACTAAACCCTATGCTTTGTACATAGGTTTTACTTGGTGTCATTTTTGAACTTGCATAATGCTTTTGTTCATTTTTAGAAATCTTTCCGCCCATGATTTCTAAAATAACTGAGTTATTGCATGTAAAATAATTTGTGCTGTATCTGAACATCATCAGAAGAATAATTTATATTGCATGAAACTTGCCTTGCCATCTAAGCCACTTAACAGTCTGTATAAAAACATAGCCACACACTTGGCCTGAATTCCTCTTCTCAATGGTAAGGAATGCAGTTAAGTAAATTGCTGTGGCCGTAGACTTGTCGTTTCGTTCTGACTGAGGCAGATCACGAAGGACTCGGTGGCTTTGTGCCGTGGGGACACCTGTCGCAGCGTCCCTGCAGTGTTTCATTTTACTTGTCTTAACTTGTGCCACCTGGTAACGGCCAGTCCCTCTGCTCCTGTCTGCCTGCAGGGCTTCTCTTGCCCGCTTCCCATTCGGTCCGTTCTTTTTCTTCCTCCTTTTCCTGCAATAGTCCAAAGGGGAGAAGATCTCACTTGTGCTCACTCAAAGCATCCCCTTTTCCTTCTAAACTTTGCTCTTTGTTTCATCTCCATCAAGGGACCCAACTGATCTCGCTCCTAAGTGACCTCTTCTCTATAAACAAAATGAAGGAAATTACTTTTATAAAAAGTTCTTCCAAAGTCCTCTGTCATCTGATGTATAGTTTATCCTGTCCCTTCTACTTTATGTGCCTAATTATTCTCCAATATTGAGTAATCATCCCCCATTTTAAAAGGTATAGTCTGTCCTGAAATAATTACAGGTTTTTTCCAGTTTTACACTTGATACTTTAGCACCTTGGTAAACATTTTGTCCCAAAGTGCTCCAAAACTGTTTATGTTTAAGGCCCTGAAGCTATAGTTTAGTGGTAGAGCTCTTTCCAGTTCATATGTAGTCAGCCCTAGAGTCAACCCCAGCTCCAGTGCAAAGAGAGAAGAGAGAAGAATGGGAAGGGGGAAGGGGGAGAAAGAAAGAAAAGAAAAATGTTGAAAAAAAAATCAAGTTGCTTTTAAAAAAGTAGTGTCTGCAATTTATAAAGGATTAACACTTAAGGTTCTGCCTTTGACTTTCCAAATCTTTTGGGCAGAGTTTCTTCCTTCAGTGTGTTCTTGATTTACCCACTCCAGTTTTGCTGAAGCACAGTAGCCAGATGCGGAAGGTAGTGGAAGCCAAAAGGTGCCATGTATAGAGTTCAGACTGCATCCGGCACAAAGTTTTGATCACGAGAAAAGCGGATTGGAATCCAGCCTGTGCTGTTCTTACCAAGCATACACCTGGTGTGACCTGTTTTCATCTAAAGAAAGGGGTTCTCGGCAGTCCACACAAAGATGTCCTGCAGGCTGGGCATGGCCTAGTAAAAATGTTCTTATGAGGAGTTTTGGCTCTTTTTTAACTGATGCATTGAGAAGCCACTAAGAGAATAAATGAAGCTATGTTTCGTGAAGAACTGTGTCACACGTGACACGGACTGTGGAAAGGCCAGAGGGGCCTTTGTCAGAAGTAGAATAGCAGAAAGACAGATGTAGCAAAATGGGGTAAAGGCATCTTTGGTTTGCTGTGGAGAGAAGGGGATAGCTGGGACAATGCTGGCGCTGTGTCCACATGTAGGGAAAACAAGGGAGAAATAGGCTTCAGGGTGTTGTCCAGACTCGTGCACCACACATTCATCTGTGAGTTGTCCTCCTAGAGGCAGGAGGTCATGGGCTGACCTTCAGAGAAGTGTTCTTTCCCCTCTCAACAGTCCTGTGACGTCCCTTCAAGGTCACCAATCACCCTTCCCCAAACAATGTAGGAATGTATTTTGAGCGAGCCAGCCGGGATATCTCCTCGTGTTTTGTCTACACTTTGCCATTGAGCAATCCTGTCCTCTAGGCAGAAAATCCTGCTAACCCTGGAGCTGGTCTCTTAATTCACTTTACAGACTTTCTGCGTCCTGGATTCCTTGAGAAATTAAGACAGACCTCATCCCTTCTCTGAATGTCTAGAATCAAACAGTCCGAAGCAGTCAGGCTTGGCTGTCTCTTCCCGGGGATCCTGGCATTCACCACGCCCCATAGAATGACACAGTGCGTACCTGGAGCTGGCCTGTCGCTCGGATCTCATCTCTGATCTCAGGAGATGAAGTCCGCAGTGGGGAGCTCTTACTCACAGGTGCCTCACCCCTTGCTCTGTCTAGTAGGCAGAGCCAAGGCCAGTAGTTAAAAGCCACATTGAGGAAGACGCTGGCTCACCTACAGGAAAAACTGCTGAATGCTTCGCGATGTCTGAAATGGAAACTCCTGCTGGGGAAGGAGTGAGTTATGGTTTCATGAGGCGCGAGGCCCCGCGGAACGTCCTTCGAGGTCAGCTTCGTGGTAGACGGCGGTCCTGGCACGGGGAGGCGATGCGCACCGCCTGTTGAATTCTTGCCCATGCTACAGCCCTCCACAGATGCTTTGCCTCACTTAATCCCCACAAAGGCTCCCACAGGAACTGGTTATACCTCCACCAGGAGAGGTTATGCTCACAAACGTAAGATCACACAGCTAGCAAGTGTCAGAGCCAGGACCGAGGCTCAGTTCCATCCCAAACCAAAGTCCTTACGTGTTTTTTTTTTTTTTCCATAGAAGCCTGAGAGACTGAACCAGGGGTTTCTAAAGTCCCTTCCAGCGTTGAGATTCTGTCTGAGCCTCCATGTGGATGGGGACATGAGTGTCGGTTTCCTCCTCATTCCTCTGGCCTCAGTCACATTAAAATAACGGTCTATGACACCATACCCCACTGCAACCTCCACTGAGACACCAGCGTTTGTTCCTTTTTCAGCTGAACGTAGTCCAACCTCAATATGGGGGTAGAGGGCATTTGCTTTGGTTTGTTTTCCCACGCCCCCTGATGAGGATGGAGCTAGCAGTATCAATGATTAAGCTTTTAGTCATCTTAAGTATACGTGACTCTGCTCTTTGTCGCTCTAAAAACTGTCACCTCTACGACATTTCCAGGTTTTTGTTACTAGAATATTTAGCCCAAGGTCAACTTTGAGGGGCTAACTTCTATGCTAGCATTTGTAATACTAGAAATTTTAGAATACTGTAATTACAAACTTGATGTTTGGCTCTTTTAAAAATTACAGTCTGAAAATGCATTGAATGTGCTTATTTCAAGGTAAAGTGGCTTTGTGTGTTTTCATACGCTGTTTCCAGATTGAAGCTGAGCTCACCAAAGAAAGAACCCGGCATCTCATGGAGTTCCAAGAGCAAGCTCTTCTCTTTAAGGAAGAAGCGAAGCTGGAACTTGACATCGAAAAAGAAAAGCACCAGGAAGTAGTCCGGAAGTATCAGCAAGAACAAGAGGACCTGCAGAAGAAGGTCTGTCACCACTGTCTGTGTCACAGTCCGGGGACACAAACCTCGTGTTCCCCTCAGGCATGCCTTCCTTTCTATAGCTTGATAGTGCGATCATGGTTGCCGTATTTTCGTTCTGCCCACACAGACAAGTGGTTCAGAAAAGATACTGGAGGTAAATTACAAAAGCACACAGCCCAGCTCTGTATGCATTGGCTTTCTACTGACAACTTCCGCTTAGGACTGACAACACCACATAACTAATGACTAGCTTGACTCCTGGTCTAATAGCCAAGATAGTAAAGTACTTTACACGATTAAAAATGTCCTTCCTAGGATTTAGTCTTCTTATCTAGAGGTTTTTAAATTTCATTTATTAATAGAGATGTTTTAATATTAATTAATTATAATATTAAGTAACTTAATTTTTATGGATATTTAATTTATTAATTAATAAAATTTATTGATTTTATTAATCCATTTTTGGATGAGGAAAAATACCATAAAAGTAATGAGCCTGCTGAAGTGCCCTTTATCAGTTAGTTGTTGATTTTACTTAATTAGGAGACATCCTCCTGCCGCAGCCTCCCAAGGGTTGGGATTACAGCCGTATACCACCAAGTTGTGCAAGTTGTTCCTGCTTTCGTAGGACTTAAGTGAAGGGAGGGAAGAAAAGCAGGGGAGGAAAAGAGGGAGAGAGAGGCAGCTGGCAAGAGAATGAACCAAAAGTCAGTGTAAAACTGACAAAGCGCGTTAAGAATCCATATTAGAGGTCCTCGAGGGCTCAGCAGGTCAGGTCACTTGTCACCATGCCTAAAAAAGTGAATTCAACCCCCAGGAACTCACATGGTGGAAGTAAGGAACCAGCTCTGGAATGATCTCCTCTTACTGCCACATACATGCACACACGCATGCATGCACACACGCACATACACGCACGCACACGGGCACACACACACACACACAAATAGATAAATGTCTCTAAAATATAATTTTGAATTTGTATTTTAAATCCAAGTCAGGGCTAGAGAGAAAGCTGTACGTTAAGAGCACTTTGTCTTGCAGGTGACTCCCATCCAAATCCAGGCACCTGCGTGACGGCTCACACCCTCCCTTAACTCCCATTCCCCAGGCTTTAACCCTCTCTTCTGGCCTTAGTATGCACATGGCACACAGACATACATGCAAGCCAAACACTCATACACATAAGATAAATAAATTGCAAAAAAAAATTTAAGAATTCATGTTAAGTAAGCACCAACAGCCTAAGAGGCTCTGTATTTGTGTGAAGACGTATGTGGAGCCGTTGTGGGGTTCACAGAGGGCAGGAGGCCAGCTACGAGAGCGCATGACACAGTAGTGCCTGGCCCCGCTCAGAATGCCCTGCAGATGCTACTGGCTTGAAATTCTTGAGGATTTCGTCTTTGAATCTGATTTTTTTTTTTAATGAATTCCTATTAAAACCATGATGCATGTGCCAGGAGCTTGGTGCCTCCGCTCCCCTGATGGTGTAGCCTGTCCTAGCCAGGTCCACACATCTTGCTGCGAAGCTTCTGGCACCAAGGGCTCCACGGAGGCCGTCTCCTTCCTCCCTCCTGTCTGCAGTCGCCCTGAGTCGCTTGGGGTCCCATGGGCAGAGGGATGTAAACAAGATGGCACCGTTACTTAAGAGAAGTTGAAATTCAAATGTTATCAGAGAAATCTGATTTTGAAACGTTGTGTCCCCCCCCTTTTTTAAATCCAGACCTATTTGTGGCTCTGAAAACCCCTGTCACCGGACAGCTTGCTGCTCTTTGTCATCTCTGCCCGGAGGGAGGGACCACTGTTCAGACCTAACGGTGACCTTCTTCTGAATTAATTGAAAAATAGTAGAATATTAGTTCCTGAAGTGACTCATGGTGGTGAAGAGATTTCTTCCAGCAGTTATTCCTTATGTAAATTGGACATTTGAAACTAATTTTTCATACATACTGTTCTTCAACAGCGGTCCCCAGAGCTCTGGAAACTCGTGTCTGTGATGTTTCCAGAATTCCCGTGGCTGGTTTCCTACTGGACCAGAAGTAGAGGACTTACAACGTGGTTGGCACGCCTGCTCTTCTGTTGTTTGCTGGCTGTTGTTTTGGGATTTTGTTTGTTTGCTTTTGGTTTTTTAAGACAGTAACTCACACTGTTCTAGAGCTCACCATGAAGGACCAGCTGGCCACAGAGTCCCAGTGATTCTCTTGCCTTGGCTGGAATTTTCGAGTGAGCCACCAAGCTCAACGTTCTGTTTTTCAAGGAGAAAGAAGTCTTTTCCCTTCTGCAGACTGCGTGCTTTGGGCGGAAGGTTCCCTGGGTTGTCCAGTGTTCTTGTGTGAGGAGCAGCACATTTGCGCCCTGCCCTGCTGTTCTCCAGAACGCCGTAATGACCGGCTTAGTGGCTACTTAGCCTTCAGTTCAGGTCACTCAGATTTAACACTTCTTCAGTCATTTTGGTTGACTTGCTCTGTAGCCAGGCCTGGCTCTCCAGAGCCTGCCAAGCGTGGCTCGTCCCTGCTTGTCCTCTGGTGGCAGATCAGCAGGAGCGGCAAAGGGATTTCACCGTTGAAATTAGATACAGATCTAATTTTTAAAAAACCTTTACTGTTACCCCACTATAGAACAATCCAGAATATCGGTGATCCGAGAAGTGGGGATGGGGTGGGGTGCCGCTGTAGAAGACAGAGCTAGTGTTTGGGGTACACCAATATATAGGGGGAAAGTATGTCAAGGCAAACTTGCTGTTTTGATCTGAGAGGAACACAGCTGTGGCTTTCTCATTGTGTCGCCAAACATCAGGCAGACACTTGGAGGCCCCCCGCATCCAGCCAAGCCCTCTCCCATCTGTTTGTGGAAAATCGAATTACCTTTGGCAGCTCGATACAGTCACAGAGATTTAAGTATTTCCAAGGGTGCCCAAGTAGTCAATGGGATACCAGTTTAGAAAAAATAAAAGTCTGTGTTGACTTTAAAAATATCTGAAGGCCCCTGTGTTGTAGGATTTGCTTTCGTCGGGTCGAAAAGCACCCTGGTTTATCAGAAGAAACTTCGCAACAAGAGCAAGAACTCTGCCATTCCCTGGAAACAGTTGCCTGTAAACTAACATGCGATTTATCTTACAGATAGCTGACTTAATCGCAGGCGCTACAAGAGGCCTGAGGCTCGAGGTGGCCTCTCTCCAAGAAAAGCTCCACGAATCCCACACACGATATACTGAAGAATCCGAGTCAAAGAGGAAAGAGATCGAAGACCTGAAACGTGTGGTTGCAGAATTCGAGCATCGCTTGAAGCAGGAAGCCAGCTGCGATGATGCAGTTTCAGAAGACCTGAAGAAGGAAATGAAGCAGAAGTCAGACGAACTGGAAAGAGTAATGCTGGCCCAAACGCAGCTGCTGCAGCAGTTCAGCCAGTCCCAGGAGGAGGTAGGAAGCAGGTGACCCCGCAGCCAAGAGCACGGCCCTTTAGACAGCAGACAAACAGACACAAGTGTGACCGGCAGCTTGACGCCAAGGAAAGAGTCACAGCCTGGGTCCATGGCACCCCGTAGCCTCTGTGGGATAGATAGTTCTCTTATGTTTACACATCCTTTACTCTTTGAGAAAATTATGCATGCGTACAGCGTATTGCTAGTCGTGGTCATACACATCCATCCTCCCCTTCTTTCCACTCACTGACCCCCCATGTCCTCTTCCCAACTTGATGTTTGTTGTTTTCTTTAAATAACAGTCCAGCTAGTGCTGCCCATATACACGTGGGTGTGCAGCCATCGCTGGGACACAGTCCGTCTACCCGGGGCCACACCCCTAGAGAAAACTGACTCTCTTTCCCCTAGCAGCCATAGCCTTCAACATAGCTTCTCAGCTAGGAGTGGGAGGCTCACCCCCTCCCCCATCCATACTGGAGTGCTGACTGGCTCGATCCCGTGGGAGTCTTGTACAGGCAGCTGCAGCCTCTGAGTCCCTAAGTACAAGGGTCTTGTCACGTTAGCGAGAAACCTCAGTCCTGCTTCTTAGACTCTGCTCCCTCTTCCGCCAGGTTCTGCGAGCCGTGGGGCAGGGTGTGACACAGCTGTCCCGTTATGGCTTGAGCCCTTTCTGTGAATCAGTTCTGTGTTGCCAGTGATCTCCTAAAAGCTCCAAGTCTAGAAATCTTTACAGATTACATCTCACTTGCTTTAACATTCAATCTTGTCCAAGTAATTTTCCGAGCACATGCTGCTTATGTTAGAAAGGGAATCCAGGCACTGTAGAGATAATTTGACTCTCATGGTTTCCAGCCCTGCCAGCCCGCCCTTCTATGCAGCTTCCTTGCTTGAGTCTTCTGTCTTATGTGTACACAGCTATTTCAGCAGTGTTTTTACAACTGAAGTAGATTCATTTTTATTGAGAAATTTTCTCTCTTGCTTATTTATGAACTACTAAACAGTTTAGAAATAGTGTAGCAATTAATTTAATATTTGATCCCATTTATAACAATATAGCATATAAAGACAAATGGACAGTTTTGAATGCTAGTGAGAAGTAAGATTTTTGTTGGCATCTTAATAAAAAAGTGAATGGAAAGCGCTAGCAATAATATGAGATGTCAACAATAAACACCATTTTCTTGCTATTTTTAAATTGCCAACCAAAACTGAAAGCTTCTGCCATCCTTATAAATATGAATAAATAGATATGAAATGAGCCTGCTATAAAGAATCATAACGCTGAAATAGGGACTGAATAAACTGTTGGATGAGAGCCCTGCCCACTATAAAGTAGCTGTTACTTGTATGTCACACATGAGGAGCCCACAAGCCTGGGTAGTTACACAGGCTCACACGGCGAGGGAGCCGAGATTCAAATCTGAAGCTCTGTGGCACAAAAGTTCCTTTTCCAGAAAGAACCACTCTTCTAGGAGCGAGTCTGCTTGTGGATTCCAGGGTAACCTCGGGCTTAGCCCTCAGTACCTTCTTGACCGAGGTTTTCTGTTCAACCCAGTCCTATAGCCGTTCAGCCCCAAAGAAATGCACAGAGATCTACAGTAGTTATAAACTGATAGGCCTAGTGGCCCAGACTTTTTAGTAACTCTTATAATTTATATTAGCCCATTATTCTTGTCTATGTTAGCCACGTGGCTCGGTACCTTATTTGATGATGCAGTCACATCTTGCTTCTTCTGTGACTGGTCAAGACTGCAGAGGAATGAGCTTCCTCCTTCCCAGAATTCTCCTGTTTTCATTGACCCGCCTCTACCTCCTACCTGGTTGTCCCACCTATACTTCCTGCCTGGCTACTGGCCAATCAACATTTTATTAAAATACAATGACAGCGTACAAACTATTGTCCCACAGCAGTACCCTAGTCCCCATCGCTTGCTCTTACCTTAAAAATGAACAAAAGTAAAGCAATAAACATAAAACACCAACACAATACATACAAGCAGGCCTGAACTGGGGGAGGAAGGGATCGCTGTAGAGTCTGGTGAAGGTCGCATGTAGAAGGACAGCAGCTCAGTCCAGTCAGAAGAGGAACACACTAGAGAAACCGAGGGAAGAGCGTCCCTGATTCCATTCTAGCGGGTCCATATTAGCATCTCCGTGGAGGGAAGGGTGCTAAGGGAGAGAAAGGCCATCTCACTGGACTAGCCAGTCTGGATCCCAGATAAGAAGTGACTCAACCAAGGCACAAACAGAAAAAGGAAAAGGTCAAATGTAAAAGAAAAGAAAAGGAAGTTATCATCTCTGTAGATGCCAGGTACTATGCTGGAGAAGTAGCAGAATAATTAGGAACAAAATGGTAATTGCTATTTCCTGCCTTCCAACAAGTGGTAAAGAAAGCCTTGAGAGAGTACTTGAATTAGCACCCAGACTAAAGAATGACCTAAACAGAACTTTTTCATATGAAAACCTTAGACTGAAGGACAGAGACACCCTACATTGAATGCCTATAATTTATCACGACCTGACAAATTACCCCCAAAGCCACTGACTTCAAACTGTAAGACTTCATTGTCTCTTTTCTTTTTGAAAGATGTGTTCATTTGTGTGTGTGTGTGTGTGTGTGTGTGTGTGTGTGTGTGTGTGTGTGAGTATTGGCACATAGGTGCTGGTGTGTAAAACCGTGCTCATCCCTGGAGCTCAGAAGGGAGTGTCAGGTGACCTTCTCTGTCATTCTTGGCTGATCCGAGACAGAATCTCTCCCTGAATCTGGGGCTCTCAGTTTCTCAGTTAGACCAACAAGCCCCAGCCTTCCTCCTGCCTCTGCCACCCACAGAGCTATAGTCACAGGTGTGTGCAAGACACCTACTTTCGACCTCCGAGGACGCCTATACACATACAGTGCACAAACATACATTCAAGCACACACACGTACACCTAAAATAAAATATTTAAAAATGAAACAAAATATTGGCTTCTGAAAGGTTAGTATGTAAATAGTAATAAATCATTACTAGAGGGGAGAAAGTATGGTTCATAAAATAAAGTTAGTGAAAAATTTTTATGTGTGGGGGCAATATCTCTCACAGAAGGGTCAAGTAGACTAGGTTTTTCCATCAGAAGTTATCAAAATATCACCTCAGGTTAGTGAGAACTGAAGTCTAAGTAAATAACTACCAAGGCTGTTTCTCTGGCTAAACATGCCAATGTCCAGAATATGCTTATAAAACGGGAAATGAGCCAATGGAAGTGATAGGATTTGTGAGCAGAAAAAAATGTGAGTGGAAATAAAGTCATATAAGATGAAGAGCCCTGTGTGTTTCTAGCCATGCTCTGTAAACACTTTAAGTTCCTCGGAGTCTGGAGAATTTTAAGCTGTGATTTCGTGGAGGAAAAGCTCCCATTAGAATGGAGATAAATTAGTGTTCTCCTAAGGAAGTTAATTAAGGGGAAGAAAGTCCTGTTCTCTTTCGAGAGGTCAAGGAGTGAGTGGAATTTGTTTTTAACTATAGAAAGGGTAAGAAGGAGGCTGAGGCCCCTGAGCCTGGGCAAGAGACAACAATGTCGTGAGCAGGGCTGGGAGAAGGTGGGTAAACGTGCCCCCCCCCCCAGGGAGTGGAAAACAAAGCTACTGCAATGCACATTTGAACAAGACTCTAAAATGTTCTTATTGGGGGAAAAGACACACACTAAAAAGCTGGAACATGGGAAGCAAACAAGAGAGCGGCAGACGATGTAAGTGAGTAGCATATGGTTATTAAAGCCAAAGTAAAACAGGTCATGTATTTTGGGTACCAGTGGTCCCCTCATGTGCCTTCCACATGAGTTCTATCCACACAGTGTGGCCCAGTGTAAGGGCCTCTTGTAGTCAAGAGGAAGAGTATAATTTTTAAAAAGCAGATCCACAGGAAGACAGAGCTCAAGACAAGAAGAGGGGCAGAACTTTCAAATTCTGTAGTTCTTGTAACCCATCTAATGGTAGTTTAAAAATATTCAAAAATAGGCCAGGCGGTGGTGGCACATGCCTTTAATTCTAGCTCTTTGGAGACAGATGCAGGAGGATCTTAGTGAGTTCGAGGCCAGCCTGGTCTAGGGAAGTGAATTCCAGGACAGCTAGGACTGTTACACAGAGAAAAACCTGTCTTGAAAGAAAAATTCAAAACTAGGAAACAGTGCTCTTTGTTAAACATGGAGAATTCCCCGGCCGCCCAGACCCAAAAATAATCGCACAGAAACTGTATTAATTAAAACACTATTTGGTCAATAGCTTATGTGTATTTCTATATAGTCCTTACATCTTAAATTAACCCATATCTATTACTTTATATTTTACCACGAGGCTCATGTTTTACTGGCAAAGTTCCAGGGCCAGCATCTGTCTCCTTCGGCAGCTACATGATGTCTCACTGACTCCACCTACTTTCTCCTCTATCTCTGCTTGGAATTCCTGCCTTGCTCTATTCAGCCCTGCTAGAGGCCCAAAACAGCTTCTTTGTATTCCAGTGGTATACAGCGCATACAGAGGGGAATCCCACATCACTTTACTTCACTGCACTGCCATGAAATTATAAGAAACAAGGGAAGAGCTGACACCTGATAAAAAAGACAAAATTTTGGAAAATAGAAAGTAAATAGCTAAGAGATTATGGATTTGACAAATTATGGATATTGAAACCTAGTGCCCATTGTGGGTGAGGGGATCCCAAAAGAGAAACCTAATTACAGGATACAACAGGGGAGGCTGAGGAAAGGGGGACACGAAACACCTTTGAAGAAGGATCAGAGAGTGGAGCCCAAACAGGGCTGATTGGGAGTAAAGGAGCCACCGTTCCCCAGTATCAGTGCCTGTCTGCCTGGGAAGAGACGTGAGGTTTTCTTTCTTTCTGAACTGAATGAGAAAGACACCGTATGTGAAATCAAAGCAGGAGACAGAGGATGAGCAGTGGGGAAGGTCGATATAGCAAATGGGAACCCTCCCAGCCCCCACCTCAAACTCTGCTCCCA